CCTGTGTGTCAGTCTGTGTGTGTTTCCAGGGCCCCGCAGACCTGTGTGTGAGTCTGTGTGTGTTTCCGGGGCCCCACAGTCCTGTGTGTGAGTCTGTGTGTGTTTCCGGGGCCCCGCAGTCCTGCGTGTGAGTCTGTGTGTGTTTCTGAGGCCCCGCAGCCCTGTGTGTGTTTCCGGGGCCCCGCAGACCTGTGTGTGAGTCTGTGTGTGTTTCCGGGGCCCCGCAGTCCTGTGTGTGAGTCTGTGTGTGTTTCCGGGGCCCCGCAGTCCTGCGTGTGAGTCTGTGTGTGTTTCCGGGGCCCCGCAGACCTGTGTGTGAGTCTGTGTGTGTTTCCGGGGCCCCGCAGTCCTGTGTGTGAGTCTGTGCGTGTTTCCGGGGCCCCGCAGCCCTGTGTGTGAGTCTGTGTGTGTTTCCGGGGCCCCGCAGCCCTGTGTGTGAGTCTGTGTTTGTTTCCGGGGCCCCGAAGTCCTGTGTGTGAGTCTGTGTGTGTTTCCGGGGCCCCGCAGTCCTGTGTGTGAGTCTGTGTGTGTTTCCGGGGCCCCGCAGACCTGTGTGTGAGTCTTGGTCATCACGCTGAGATGCATAGTGATGCCATTTGTTTCTCCTGCTGCTTACACCCTCCCACCTGTATCACACACTAAGCCTAACCCTAACCCTAACCCTAACCCCCACCCTCCTCTTGTGACCCTGAGGTAAAGTGCTCACACCCTCTCTTCCCCATGGCAGCACAGTTGCGGAAATCAACATGAGGCAGGTTCATCTCTCCAGGTTCGGGGTCTGTGTGACTCTCTCACTCCAGTCTCCACCCCCATTAATCCGAAGTGAAGTTCCTGGATTCTGCCGCATTCTCAGTATTCCAGTAACCAAATGTCTTTTGCTCCATCTGAACCCCGGATCAGCTTCCTACAGCCACTTAACAAAGACCATTTTTCAGAATGATTTGTTTTGTGAGGATTACATTTGGAGTGAGGATGCAGTAGGTTTAGATTATTTTAATTGCTTTTATTTATACCTCTTTTCTTAGAGAACCATTTAATGACAGAGTTAATGTGTAAGACTAAGACGGAGCAATGGATTTGTTTATTTTGATCCATTGTACCACAAATCATTATCATATATATATGGTTGGTTGCTAGAAAGGAGAATGAACTAAATCACATTTCATTGCAAGTCTATGATTTATATTTGCCCCAGGGCTGAGTTTGTGTGCAGTATGTAATAACTGAATTTGTAATGGTAGATGGTGCAAAATATGAATTATGGTGTCTTTAATGTATAATGCTCCTCTAATCTGATCGATTTGATTTATTATTGCAAGGGCTTCTTTATCAGGCATGACACTAAAAGTCCATGTCTAATTCTCGCTTCCCTTATTGAGGGTGATTTGCTGCGATGCCGGGCTCCGGAAGGAGAGGTCAGGAGAGCACTGTGTGTTCAGTGGGCACCAAAATGGTGTGAGTGTGGGAAGAAGCCGGTTCTGAACCAGGCGTCTGACTTGGTGTCTGGATTCAGGGACACAGGGTTTGGCATTAAAGCCTCTCTGTGGAATGTAATTGTGTGGAGTGTAATTGTTTGGAATGTAATTGTTTGGAATGTAATTGCCTGAAGCCTTTCAGAGTATATACCATCGTTTGATCGTTATCTGTATAACAAAAAATGGTAAATAGTGGCGTTAGTTCAGGATGCCGCTTGTGAATGGTACAGGCCTGTATAAATTATGCATCAGATGTTCAGCTGGACTTCATAGTGGTCAGAGCAGCAGGTATGGAACAGGCCAAGTGGAAGCAGGCGGGCCGGTGGGAGGGGGGCAGGAAGTGCAGCGTGGTGCCGGCCCGGGACACAGAGCCCAGGCCGGTCAGCCTGAGGCCCATTCAGGCTTTGTCACATGAGCTGGGGGGGTGCGTGGGGTTTTTTTGCTGTTGGTTGTTGGGGGGAGGCGAATGGGGGGAGGGGGCAGCTGAATTGAGCAGCCACACAGTCCCCCCCTTAATCCTGCTTAATTTGAGTGCAAAGAAATTCACATGTGCCACTAAGAACATTTACCAAGTACACTGCCTCCATTTTCCCCCAAAAATAAAACACAGCTTAAGCACTAAGCTTTATTGATCTCACAACTTGATAGCGTGATTAAGGGGGAGAGGCAGTCCCTGTGAAACAGTGCACACTTATAGATTACAGGCTACGCTACACTGCTTTTAATTGGGAATCCATTAGCGGGGCCGCAGAGTCTTGGCGGGGATCCCCTCACTCCTGAGTATAGATACCTCTTCAACTTTTCGCTCGGTGTGTGGGGTAAGCCTCTCGGTTTCCATGGGAGCGACTCCTCGTGGTAACCGGATAACCTTGTGGCCGCAGCTGCCTTGGGAGGCTTGAAGGTGCACGACGGAGGCCTAAACGGGGCCGGGGTTTGCATATGTACCATCGCGACGCTGAGGAGAGGGCAGAGAAAGATACCTGCTGTTTGGTCTAGGATGAATGTTTGCCGTATTGAAGTTACGGATGGTGAAAGCCGTGGACCTTGTAAGTGTCCTGTCATAGTAAAGGATGCCGTTTGTCGGTATGCTAGTAATAGATTCCATCAATACATCAATATATATCAAAATATAAAATATCAAAATATGTCAAAGGGAAGTAGATGGTGTCAGACATTATATACCTTGAAATGTTAACTGTCCGCTGTTGTTTATCCTTTGCAGATAAGTAACGATTATCTGCAGAAATCATCCAGATCTGGTAAGTAAGCGGTGTTTAATATTTCCAGTTTCTGCAGTCATTTCTCGGCCTTCTGTCCTTGCACGGCGACACTGAGCGTTCCTCTGCGCCTTCCATGAACTCCCGGTGTTCTGGTAGCGACGTCGGGCCGGTTCTCCATCGCTCGCTACGCCGATTGCAGGTTTCTGTGCCGGACGTGCCGTCGGTCACCTGCCCACCCCGCTGTTTGATGT